GAGTGCACCCATGTCATGCAGTGCTGTGGAGGTCAGAAGAGGGTTTCAGATTCCCTTGGAACTGGAGTTAAGGACGGTTCATAGCCACCATGTGGGTGCTGGGAATCGAACCTGGGTCCTCTGCAAGGGCAGTCAGTGTTCTTAACTGCTGAGCCATCACTCCAGCCCGTTTTTCTTTTTTTGAGACAGGATTTTATTATGTAGTTCTAGCTGACTTGGAACTCACTATATAAACCAGGCTGGCCTTGAACTTATAGAGATCCACCTGTCTCTGCCTCCCTAGTGCTAGTATTAAAGGTGTGCACCACCACACCTGGCTGAGTTTTCTTTTTTAAAATATATTTTATTTGTGTGTGTGTGTGTGTGTGTGTGTGTGTGTGTGTTTGAGTGTATGCACATGTGTGTGTGTGTCTGTGCATGAACAGAGTCCAGAAGGGGGTGTTGGATCCCTCTGGGTTGGAGTTACGGGTGTGTGCAGGATGTCTGCCTTGTGGCTTGTTACATCTGTGCAGGAAACTCTAGTTTTCAGCATTGTATAGCAATTACTCTTAACCCCTGAGCCATCTCTCTAGCCCTCACAGAGCCTTCTGATAACTCTACCCCGGAGGCTGGAGAGATGGCTCAAGGGTTAAGAGCATTTGCTGCTCTTGCAGAAGACCCGGGTTCGGTTCCCAGCACCCACATGGCAGATCACAAGCACCTGTAATTCCAGTTCTAGGTGATTTGATGCCCTCTTCTGGCCTCCCAGGGAACCAGGCACACAAATAATACACATACATGCAGGCAAAACCCTCATTCACATAAAATAAAAATAAATATACTTTAAAAAGAAAAAAGTTTATGTGTATAAGTGTTATGCCTGCATGTATATAAGTGTACCCAGGGTGGTGCTGGAGGAGGGCAGAAGAGGGTGTCGGATCCCATGGAAACTGGATGCCGTTCCCCTTGCTAATTCACTCCTGCCCCACAGAGGTGGGGGCAGTCCTTCTCTAGGGCCTGTTGATAAATAAACGAGCAGCAATTGTCATGAGCCACCTTTGGGTAACAGCATTTAAAATACATGCACTTTATGTGTATTTGTATAATATAGGAATGTTCTGGAAGGACTCAGGAGTTCTAGCCAATCTGACAGAACTTCCTGTGACAGGCACTGTTCATCGCCTCATCTTTAACTAGAACCTATTAGATAATTTCCTTTAATCCTGGAACCCCTGTGAGGACGGCATATTATCCCATGTAGTAAAGGAAGAAACCAAGCACAGAGAGGTTGAGAATGCTGCCCAGCATCACAGAGCTGAATGAGAGATGGAGCTTGAATTGGGGTAGGCAGAGTCCTGCCTGTTCACCAAGCTCTCTCTCCCAAATGTGGAGGTATACCTCTTTCAGTATTTGAAATTGTCAGGCCCCACCCCAGTGGGTGCCAAGGATCTCCCGTCCTCCCAGTAGCTCTAGGGACAGGAGCTGTTAATTTTCAGATCAAGTGGCTTGCCTCAGGGCACACAGCTGGCAAAGCAGGCTGAGCTTGGAGCTTGCCTCCCCAGACATCCTGCCTGCCACGAGCAGCCTCCCTGTCCTTGGTACTAGGGTGAACATCAGACACTCCCTACCCTTGAAGCCTTGTGTTTAACAGATTCTTTCTTTTTTTTTTCCTGGAGCTGAGGACCAAACCCAGGGCCTTGCGCTTGCTAGGCTAGTGCTCTACCACTGAGCTAAATCCCCAACTCCTAACAGATTCTTTTGGCTAATGGAGGCTGTACTCAAAACTCCTTGGACTTGAAATTCCCTGCTCTCCTTGAGGCAGAGCAGTGACCAAAGCCAGTCAGGTGGGGAATACCACTGCTCCCCTCCCCAGCCAGGACTGCAGGTGAGGGTAAAGGTGGTTCAAGGCCACTGTAGCCCCCCCCCGCCCCCCATCTTGCCTCATGCTGAGTGATGGCAACTCTGCCCCCAACAAAGGCTGGGAAGAAACAGATTCCCAAGGCATTACCACCTGGGTGTGTGCTCCAACAGGGCCTGGGCACACATCTTGTCCCTCCCCAGAGGCCCCCTCCCAGCAGCCCCAGCCTCCCCACCCTTTCCCACCTCACAGTGACTCAGCTGCACAGGCTAGCATTTCCTCCTGGCATCTATTCAGGAACGCACTGTGACACCATCAGCCAGCACCCCAAGCCCGGGACTGAGAGCTGATATTCCCCAGCGCTGCCTCCACCTGAGGGATGGAGGGAGAAAGGCTGGAAGCCAAGGTGAGAGGCACAGTCTGGAGCTCTGGCTGGGGCAGACCCCCTGCTCGGAGGAGCCCTGAAATTCAGGTTTAGGGAGGCGGTCTTCTGAGCACTACCTAGGGGTACCAGTCATTCTGATGGTAATAGTGATGATGCCATGGATGGTGCCACCACACCCACTACCTTATCTCAGCCATGGTCAGGCCTTGTGAGATGGTGACTCTGACTTTACTCAGGGCAAATGAAGAATAACCTGCTGTAACCCTCTTCCCTGCGCGAGCGCAGTATCCAGACACCTGTCGCCTTGAAGTCTCCATTCTTACTTAGGGCTTTGGTGCTGCTCTGGTGTTTGGATCTTGTTAGTGGGCAGAGCATTTAGGAAGTGGAACCTAGTGGGAGTTAGGCCATCAAGGGTAAGCCCTGGAAGGGAATATTGAGATCCTTCCTGTCACTCTCTTTGCTTCTTGGTCTGCCTGAAGTGGTCTCCTGCCGTGTGCCACCCCAAACCCCAGACCATGATATACTGTGTTGCCACAGGCCTAAAGCAAGAATACCAAGTGACCTCGACCTGGACCTCTGAAACCAAGAGTCACAATGAACCTTTCCTCCTTTAAAGTAGACTATCTCAGGTATTTTCTCACAAGAACAACTAATGCACACAGGTAGGGAGTTGGAGGAAGGTGTGTGTCCACAAGCCAAGGGCAGAGGCCCTGGAGGGAAGCTGTACTAGAACCTGTTAGCCTTGACCACCAGCCTAGAGGTCTCGGTATGGTTCTCGGCCTGAAACTGCAGCAGGATCTCTGATCTTCCCCCAGAGTTCTGAGCTAGTAGGTTCGGGGTGCATTTCTTTTCTTTTCTTTTTCTTTTTTTTTTGGTCTTTTTGAGACAAGGTATCCCTGTAGCCCCAGCTGGCCTGGAACTCACTATGTAGACCAGGCTGGCCTTGAACTCACAGAGATCCGCCTGCCTCTGCCTCCCAAGTGCTGGGACTAAAGGCGTGTGTCACCACGCCCGGCTTTGGGGTGCATTTCTAACAAGTTCCCAGGCATTGCTGCTGGTTCCTTGGAGACAATGCCAGGAACCACAGAGGAAGGGGTGGCCAGAATGAGGCCTTCATCCTGACTCTAGGTGATATAGGCTGTAGACTCTGAAAAGAATCCTTGACCTGCATGCCAGCCTCAAGACTCCCTGTCATCCCTGAGGCAGAGGGAGCCATGGGAGGCTTCGGAGCACAGGTGGGAGGTGGACAGTGCCAGCTTTTCTGAAGATGCCTCTGGTAGTCAATGGAAGATGGTGGGGCTGCCAGGGAGGGGAGGGGCATGTGTGCAGCAAGGGGTTTGCACAGGCTGCGTTGGTCAACGTCTCCAGTCCCTGCCCTTTCCTTGTCACTGTCAACAGCTGCTTTCTGTGACTCGAGGCCTGTCTGTGAGGACTGTGCCCACTGTACCTGTGAATTCCCTGGAGCCTCACCATCTATGGCCAAGGGACCCCTTTCTCCTTGCAAATGAGGATCTGGGGGCCTAAGTGAGCTCTCACCCAGCCTAAGAATGTCCTGAGTGGGCAGCTTGCTGGGCACTGCCAGGCTTGTGCTGTTGGATGCCAGAAGCAATGTTGGCTGCAGTGGCCCTTCCCAAAAGGACAATGAGCAGAGCAGGGCTTGTGGTCAGTCTAAACCAGGTAAGTGCACCACGACACAGGTGCACTTACCTACACGCAGACAATGCATGCATACACATAAAATAGAAACAATAAATAAATGTTTTTAAAAAAATAAAATAATAAAGGCCAGGTGTGGCGGTGCACACCTTTAATCCCAGCACTCGGGAGGCAAAGGCAGATGGATCTCTGTGAGTTCAAGGCCAGCCTGGTCTACATAGTGAGTTCCAGGACAGCTGGAGCTACAGGGAGACCCTGTCTCAAAAATACCAAAAATAAATAAATAAATTAATTAATTAAAATAAAATAATAGTTTATTATCTCTATTTTGTGTGTAAGTATATTGCCTGCATTGTATGTGCACAGTGTCATGCAGTGTCCGAAGAGGTCAGAAGAGTGTGTCAGATCCCTTGGAACTGGAGTTAGGGATGGTTGTTAGCCATGGTTAGTTAACTATGTGGGTGCTAGGAATTGAACCCAGGTCCTCTGCAAAAAGCAGCCAACTCTCCAGTCCCAGACTGGGTTTTGAGGAATGGATGGTCTATGGCCTTAGCTTGATTGCAAGAATTGTTTTGCAGTGTTTCTGGATTTTTTTTCTTTTTCTTTTTCTTTTTCTTTTTCTTTTTTTTTTTTTTTTTCGAGACAGAGTCTCATATAACCCCAGTTAACCTGGAACTTGACATGTAGCTAAGAATGACCTTAAACTAAACTCTTGATTTTCCTGCTTCTGCCTCCTGAGTGCTGGGATTACAAGCCACCAAGCCTGGTTGGATTTCTGCCTTCTGAGCGTCCTAGATTCCTCTGTCTATCTGCCTGTATGGATAGTTAGGCTTTCGTATTTCAATAAGAAGTCACATATAGTGATTATCACTATGCCTGTGATTGTACCAGCCCAGCAGAGGTCATACAGTACAGGGGAACTAAGGAGGCCGTGCAAGTGGCCTGTTTACCAGGGTGTGGGGAGGATCCTGGTCAGACAAGAGGGATGGGCCAGCTGTAGTCCCTCCTACAGGTCCCGAAAGGGCCTTGGAAGGAGGGCCGCCAGAGAGAATTCCAAGAGAAGGGCTAGACAAGAGCTGCTCTGTCAGCTACTGGGGAAAGAAATACCCCTTATACTCTCACCTGGCACCCACTGCATCCAGAGCTTGCCAGGATAACCCTCTTTGGCCTATGGAGCAGGATGGAGGTGGGTTCTGAAGGGAAAAGGCAAACCGCTTAGCCCGGTGCCCTTCAGCATCCATCATCATCCTCTGGAGGAAAATGTGTCCCTAATCCCAAAGACAACAGAGCCGTCAATCTCTGATGATTCTGTGACCACTAGAGTAGCATCTACCTGAAACCTGAGACTTGGTATCACCAGCAATCTCTGTATAAAGTGGATGGGCCTGCCAGAAGGAAGTAGTCCACAGACCCATGCTGACGCAGCCCTGCTTCCGGGACCTTCCCATGTCCTGTCCTGGGGGTGTTCCCAGGCAGCATTTTTCTCTCCTTAGCCTTGGAGAGATGACCAGAACTTTTTTTTTTAATTAAAAAATTTTTTATTTATTTATTTTTTACGTGTATGAGTGTATTGCCTGCATGTATGTGAGTGTACCCATGTCCTGCAATGCCGCGGAGGTCAGAAGAGGGTTTCGGATTCCTCTGGAACTAGAGTTAAGGACGGTTTGTAGCCGCCATGTGGGTGCTGGGAATTGAACCCGGCTCCTCTCCAAGAGCAGTCAGAGCTCTTAACCGCTGAGCCATCTCTCCAGCCCAAGATGACCAGAACTTTTGTTCATTCAGGACCTGAGTCCCCTCAGGGCACATTTCTAATGAGTTTTCTTCCTTTTCTGCAATAAGATTTATTAACAAGTAATGGGAAGAGTCTCAGTGAAGTCCTTGGGTTCTATCAAGGACCACCTTGCTTGACTAGCAGAACCAATTCACCTTCCCCCTGGTCATTGAGACTGGGCCTGTTGGTTTGGTGGCATGAGTGGCCCGCACAGATGGTGGGGGCGGGGCAGCCTCACATGTAATCCTGTAATCCACGGGAACTGGACTGTGTTTCCTGAGGGGAGCATTCCTTTCTTGGACACTAGCCCAAGGTCACAGGAAGGAAAGTGAAATTCCTGTGTGCTAGTCCTTGTAAATAAGGCCCCCCCCCCCACCCCCGGCCGTTCTTGTACTCACGAAGCACTGAACTCCTACAGTGTCTGCTGAGGAAGGCACAGACCACGCCCTGCAGGACGGGGCTGACGGTGAGACATGTGGTAGTCAGGGGATTTCATGGGCATGAGCCCTTGCCATACTTCCTTCATAAAATGAATCCCGCAGTTCATAGAGACGGTGTTTGAGTTGCTATGGTGATAGATAAATAAAGCATTCTCCTAGTCCAAAAATGGTGGTGCTGGTAGAAGTGATGTGGCTGGAAAAGCAAGGTCTCCTCGCCTGTAATACAGCAAGTAAATCACCTTCCGCTCTGCGTTGTCTGAAGGACTCTAACGTCAGTAACCTGGAGAATGGCTTAATGTGAACAGCCTGGGTCCCTGCTGCTCAGATTTGGGCTGTCAGCCACAAGGGAAGCCATCTCAGCCTGGATGAAGGAAGTCCGTGCTGTGGAGCCCTGTGTGGCCTCCATCCCTGTCTGTTCGGACATTAATTCATGGGTCCTTTGAACAGACACAGTGGCATGGGATGAGAGGCCAGCTGATGTGCTCAGAAGGGTCATTTTGTCTCTGTACCTACTGAGAGCTTCCTCCCCTGCAAACCTTGCTTGGTGACTGTTCATCCTCTTTAGGCAGGCGTTTTGTGCCCATCCTGAGAGCCACATCTACTTTCCTTTCCCTCAAAAATCTTTCAAAGCCTCTGATTGGCTGACTGACCCATTACCTGTATATCAGCACGGAGTTTTGCCTTCTGGGAGGATTTCTCTTCAATATTGTCTTTTAGAGCCTTACCTCATCTCCAAACTCTGGCTGAAGCTGTCACATCCTGGAGAACACTCTTTCTGCCGGCTGCCGGCCCCATGTTTCTTCAGCCTGTGTTCACTGACCATGAGGTCATAGCTATGGGGTAAGAAGAGTTTGCAAAACAGTAGGGAGCAAATACCATGGACTTTAAACCACCCGCACATGATGTGTACTCTCTCCTTCCACATATATTTGGGTCCAGTGTCATTTTACGACGGAATGCTGTTGTGCATACCTGGTTTTATGATATAGTAGATAGCATCTACTTTTCGATGGACAGATAGCTTGGGTTGAATAGTTTCTTGGCATCCATGACGAGGCATTTAACTTTCACTGAGACCTAGCAGGAAGTCAGAAGTGGAGAACAGTCGTTGGAAGAAATGGACTTACTACCAAGCCCTGGAGTGTCCCATGCAATTCCCCTACCAGGACTTGCTCCACAGAACATTCCTGGCTGCCTTTCACCTCTCTCTCTCTCTCTCTCTCTCTCTCTCTCTCTCTCTCTCTCTGTCTGTTTGTATACGTGGACGTCAGAGGACAACTTTGTGTATCATTCCTTACGAGCTCGCCACCTTTTTTTTTCCCAAGAAAGGGTCTTTCACTGACCTAGAAATCACAGAAATCAGCTAGGCTGGTTGGCCACAGAGCCCAAGGGATCCGCCTGTCTCTACCTCCCTAGTACTGGGATCATAAGTGTACACTACCATTTTTGTTTGCAAGAGTTCTGGGGCTTGAACTCATGACCTTGTGTTTGTAAGGCAAGCACTTTATCAACTGAGCTATCTCCACAATTCTATACTTTCACAATCACAGGACCTGTTGAGTCATGAGGATTCTGCTGGGTCATGAGGCTAAAGGAGCAGGCAGCCTACTCAAAGCCTGGACCTACTCACCCACCCATTTTTGCTCTGGTTTCCATCCAAAATTGGCAGTCTGAGAGGATGCCCAGCGAATGAATCAGAGAAGATCATGCAAGGTAGTAAAAGTTATCTAGAAAGTTCCAGTGTGTATAACCCCAAGCCAGAGCTACCCCGTGTCTCTTCATGGTGAACTTTGGGTACCTGAAAACGCCTTTTCCTAGCTCTACTTTTGGAAAATATTTTTGCTGAGCATTAAATTTTAGGTCAGCGTTTTCTTTCTGTTTGTTAAAGTGTTGATCCAGTTGTGCTCTTTCCAGTGAGGTAGTTGGTGTCTTCCTTATTTTTGTCTTTATATAATGCGTCATTTCCCTTTGTTTTTTTCTTATCACTGGTTTTGAGCAATTTGTTTCTAAAATATTTTTATTATTTTTATGTGTATGAGTGCATTGCTGCATGTGTGGAAGCACACCCATGTCGTGCAATGCCTGCGGAGGTCAGGTCTCCTGGAACTGGAGTTATGGACTGTTGTCAGCTGCCATGCAGGTGCCTGGATTCAAACCTGGGTCCTGTGCAAGAGCAGCCAGTGCTCTTAACCACTAAGCCATCTCTCCAGCCCCTGGTTTTGAGCGATGTAAGACGTGACTTGGCATAGTAGTAACTGGTTATTCTCAGGCTTCCTGTGCTTTCGTTTCATTGAATGTCTTGAATTTCTAGGTTTATAGTTTTCGGTGAGTTTGGAAAATGTCACTATTTCTTCAAATGCTGCTATGTCTGTCCTCTTAGTCTCTTTGCTGTTCAGGACACAAATTATCATGCAAGGTGAGTCACCTGGTGTGCTAGTGGTGTCTTTGGATTATTTTTTTCTGACTGTGTAATTTTATTTTTAAATTCATCTATTTTCATTTTATGTGTATGAGTGTTTTGCCAGCATGTATGTAAGCACACCACATGCATGCAATACCTGCAAAAGCCAGAAAAGGGTGTCGGGGTCCCCTTAAACCAGAGTTTCAGATGGCTGTTAGCTGCCATGTAGGTTCTAGGAACTGAGCCCTAGACTTCTGCAAGAAAAGCCAATGCTCTTAACCACTGAGCCATTTCCCCAGTTCCTCATTGTCTTGTTTTAAATAATTCTATATATTTTCTCTGGTTTACATTTATTTATTTGTGTACTTGAACACGTACATATGTGCATGGGAGGAGGTCAAAGGCTGATTTACAGGAGTCAGTTGTCTGCTCCCACCCTGTGGGTCCCGGGGGTCAAACTCAGATCATCAACCTTGGCAGCAAGCCCTCCTACTACTGATCCACCTCACCAGCCTCTTGAAAAATTCTATTTCTAAGCCTTCAATTTCATGAATCTTTTCTTAAGTAATGTCTGCCATTAATTACATGCCGCATTTTTTTCACTTGGGGGCTGTAGTTTCATCTCTGGATGCTCAACTACAGTTTAAACATTATTTTCATGATTTAACTTTTAAAAAAAATATTTTAGCTGGGTGTGGTGACACACACCTTTAATCCCAGCACTCGGGAGGCAGAGGCAGGCAAATCTCTGTAAGTTCAAGGCCAGCCTGGTCTACATAGTGAATTCCAGGACAGCTGTGGCTACAGGGAGACCCTGTCTCAAAAAGACCAAATATTATTTTTATGTTATGTGTATGAGTGTTTTCCTGCATGTATGTAAGTGCACCCGTGTCATGCAATGCCCGTAGAGGACAGAAGAGGCTGTCGGATCCCCTGGAACTGGAGTTACGGACAGTCATTAGCTGCCATGTGGGTGCTGGGATTCGAACCTGGGTCTTCTGCAAGAACAACCAGCGTTCTTAACCACTGAGCCATCTCTCCAGTCCCATGATTTAACTTTTTGAGCATAGAGAATGTAGTTATCATAACTGTTTTAATGTTTTCTGCCAATTCTCTTACCTGTGCAAACTCCAGGTTGGTTCTGGTTGTTATTCAATAATCATAAGCTTATTCTCCTGTGCATGGGTTGTTTTCCTTCTAGCTTGCTTGAAAGTTTAGTGATCTTTGACTAGATGCCAGACATTATGATTATTTTACCATTTTGGATGCTCTGTATTTTCTCTGATAAACATTTTGTAGATTTTTTTGTCCTGGGATGCAGTTAAATTACTTGGAAAGAGTTTGCTAGTATGTCTTGTTTTGATGATTTGTTAGGCAGATATGGAAGAGTGCTTAGTCTAGCTTCCTCTACCTCCTCCAGTCTAGTACCTCCTTCTCCTCCCCCTCCCCTCCCCCTCTTCCTCTTCCCTCCCCTTCCCCTCCCCTCCCCCTCTTCCCTCTCCTCCCCATCCTTTCCCCCAACCTTTGGGCTGAACCCAGAGTCTCACAGGTCAGTCTAGAAAGTCTGGCTGAGGGTAGGGGGGTAGTGGATGGATTCCAAGTAGTGGTGATCCCACTTCTAAGGCACAACTCTTACAGTTTGTATCTAGAATGTTCTCTCAAAGGCTCCTGTGTGGAATGCTTGCTGTCCAGCTAGGGAAGCTAGGAGGAGGTGGTGGAAACTTCAGGATGCGGGGTCCAGTTGATGGAATAGGTCATTGTGGGCATGTTGATGAAGGGGATACTGGACACTTGGATCTTTCCTCTCCCTCTCTCTGCTTCCTGGCTGCCATGAAGTGAGAATCTTTTCTTTGCCTACATGCTCCTTGCCATGATGTTCTGCCTCCCATTGGCCCAGAAACAATGTTAAGTAATCACAGACTAGCAATTGGAGCCAAAATAAGTGCTTCTTCCTCTAAGTTGTTGTTTTCCCTCGGCCATTTTTCACAGTGACAGAAAGCTGACTAACACAACCTTCTTGAGACTTCTATCCAGTGTCCATGAATTATGGGTTTTTCTACTCTGATTCATGGGAAACATTTTTGTCTGAATGAACCCCAGATACCATGTCTTCTAATCTTTCAGAAATTTCCCTGGCCTCAGACATTTTCCTCTTCTGTGAGCACTGGGTAACAGGCTGCTGGATCCCTGAGTCCCTGACTCTCTCTGGGGTATCTGCTCTGCTGTCCTGAGAGTTAGTCTCCTCAGCCCTCAGTGCCTCCGCACCTCAGGGACCTCACTGGTTCCTCTCAGTGTTCTGCCCTGGCTGGGGGAGGGGTAGTGGAGCATTCATCCTGTCTACTGTCTCAAGGAGAGAGGGAGGGGTCACTGCATTATATCCCCTATTTCCACTGTCATTATTTCATATACTTTGTTTTCATCATTTTTGTTTTTGAGACAGGGTCTCCTTGTAGCTCTGGCTGGCTCAGAACTCACGAAGTAGGCCAGACTGGCCTTGAACTCACAAGATCCAATTGCCTCTGCCTCCTCTGCAGGGATTAAAGGCCTGTGCCACCACTCCTGGCTGTTTTTTTTTTAATTTTTATTTTTTTCGTTTTTGGTCTTTTTGAGACAGGGTCTCCCTGTAGCCCTAGCTGTCCTGGAACTCACTATGTAGACCAAGGCTGGCCTTGGACTCATAGAGATCTGCCTGCCTGCCTCTGCCTCCCGAGTACTGGGATTAAAGGTGTGCGCCACCATGCCCGGTTTCGTTTATTTTTTTAAGACAGGGATGCATGTATGGCAGACTGTCCTTGAATCTGAAGTAGCCAAACAGGGCCTTGAACTTCTGATCCTTCTGCCTCTACTGGGAAATAGGCCTGTGTGCTATGTCATGACTTGCACATGCTGGGCAAGCACTCTACCAACTGAATTACAGCTCCAGTAACCCCCCCACACCCCCAATATTTTTCTTTTCTAGACAGGGTCTCACTCTGTAGCCCAGGCTGGTCTAGAACTCCCAGTGATCTTGCCTTCACCTCCTGAATGTTGGAATTACAGGCAGAAGTTAGTATTTTAGTACCAGTTAGATCAAGCAAATTCCCATCTGTTGATTGATCCTTTGGGTTTCTGGGTATTTCATTGTTCGTATTTGCTCATTTCTCTTTGGGATTGATTACCTGTTC